TAAATAAAATTCAAATATTTTTTGCTCACAAAGATAAGTATTCGGTTGGACAAGCTCAATCCAACCCAGCCTGCTCGACCGGCTAGCAGCGGCGGTGCGCACTTGTTTTTTTGTTTTGGATCCAATGGATCTAGCCTACTTTACGCATAACATCACCCTTTCACAAACTTGGGTACCCCTTGGCGTCCATTCAAAGTATCCCAAGGTAGAGTTTATATACCTATATAAATCCTTAAGTCTTTCCAATATGAGATAAACACATTTCACAAATGTGTAGGAAACCCACCTAAAGCCCTTTCTAGGAACTCGAAAATGCACGTTGAATTCTCATTCATCCAGAAATGGTTTTGAACAACCAAATACACGATGTTATTCACTACACAGCATTAAACATGAACCAAATTAGAAAGGTTAAAAATAATGCTTGGTTCCTACCTTAATTAATGCTCAAAGTTAGCAAAAAATAAGATTTTACAAAGTCATTTTCCAACACGTTTGCTATAAGACTTTTGGAAACAGAGAAATAGAAAATGGATTGTTTTGTAGTGTTAAATAAACAAATAAATGTTAATGTGAAGAAGTAAAAAAAAGACAATTGATTTATATATAGGACTTTTCATGACTTTTATAGATGATGTGTTGTTGGATTTAAATTCAAGACCTTTCAAATTTAAACAAACACCTATTCAATTTAAAAGAATGTCCTTTAACTATACAACTTTTAATTTGAAATTTGAAATTTAAATACAAAATTTATTTAATTTTTAATTATTGGGGATTTGGTCAAATCCCCCTCATAATAAAATTTTAATGCATTAAGAACAAGTAAAAAAAGTTTTCATTAAAAAGTCCAACACATACCACTATTACTAAAATATTAAATTTTAAAATAATATAACTTTTAATCCAGATGTCGATTTTTAATAAAATTAGTATTTTTATAATTTTCTCGTTAAGATTTATTAGACAAGATCCATGTTGATTATGAAACTCTATATAAAAAAAAAATTATTACCATCAAAATTGATGTAAACAACATGTTATTTTATTTGATAGTAATATGTTACTCTATCTCACAATAACATGTTATTCTGATTCATAGTAATATATTACTTTGCTAATATTGTCCAAGGAAAAAAAAAAAAGAAGATATTTTACTTTATCCTTATTTAATATTATGTGTCTCCTACTTAAGGGTTTATGAAGTAAATAAATTAGGTTATATTTTTCACTAAATAAAGGTCTAAGGAAGGGGTTTTGACTAAATTTTTTCAATAACAAAATATATATATATACCGTTAATATTCGTACTACCCATAAATTAAAATTTTGAATTTCATCATTTCAATATATGATTGAAAGTGTGAGAAATCTTTTGTTGAGAAAATTGTTAGAAAGTCCAATTTAAGGAGTGTATAAGACATTTATTTGGGGTATACTAATAAGTACTTATTTTTTATCTTTTTTTTTTTGATCACATCATCTCTCTACTTTTTTTGCATATCTTTTCGTAAAAAGTCAAAAAGTACACTTATTTAGATTATCTCAAACCACCATTAAATCGAATGGATATTTTTTTTGTTAGTGAGAGGTCCACCATTTGTGAAATAGCTTAGTAAGAAATCCTTTTATTATTTTAGAGGACATTTTATTTTCATTCTTACCCATATGTATCAGTTGAATGTTTTTGACTATCTATTTAATTTTTTTTAATTATTTGTTCAAATATTTTTTTTTTATCTTTTTAAATTTTTTTTACTATTTGTTTAATTTTTTCCCCTTATATATTCAAATTTCTGTACAAATTTTATTATTTGTTCAATTTTTTCCTTGAATTCTATTTGCAAGCCACTATCTGTTCAAATCTCTTCAGATTTGAGCCATTACAGATCTTTACATATCTATTTAGAGAGAGAAAAGGTGTGCAGATTGCTGGAATTAATCTACCAAAGCACCTCAATAATCAAATTGATCGAAATCGTGATCAATCACAACCTATAAGAATAAATCATGAACAACGATTTGCTTATCTTAACCACAACTGATCAATCACGTTATCATAACAAACAGTAATTTAAATCAACCTCACAGTTTTGTCAAATTCATGCATTCTCAGTGAATTAAACAAAGAGCATCTATAAAACAATTTCATGAGCTGCAAAAAGCTAGGGTTTGTTCAAATAGCTTTCGGTCTGGATCGGAACTCAGGCCGACGATGTTTTTTCAAAGTTGTGGAACTCCGACGCACCGTACGTCGTTTCAGATCTACATCTCCAATCCGACAAGATCTGGAAGGAAACAAATTCCATTTACCTTCAAATCTATAGATCGCACCATCGTTGATGTTCGTCTTCGTCATCACCGCCGTGGAGCACAAGAATCGGTGGTCGCTCTTCTCCCGTGCTGTCGCGATCTCCGCCCGTTGAGGGATCAAAGCACCCTACACTTCTGACGTAGATGAACACCATCGTCTCACCCTACTCTTCCCCAATCAGGCATCGCCGGCGAGGTTGAGTAGAGGTAAAGCGACACAACGATGAGGCTTTGGAGAGCGGGGGAGGAGCACAGGGTTAGGGTTTCGATGAAGGCTCAAGTTGAGACGGGAATCTCTGAGGCTGAGACGGCGATCTGTTAGGCTAAAATGGTTTGGAACGAGGAAGAGAGAGAGAGAGAGAGAGAGAGAGAGAGGAGAGTGACATAGACATGGACATAGACAGAGTCAATTTGCATTGCTGTTGTTTGATTTGTTTTTTCACCGTATACTATTTTTCTAACTGCGTAATTTGGTCATGTGGAGTTTGTCATTCAATAGTGACCGAGACTTTTTTTTTTGACAGCCCTCCATAATTCTTTTTGAATCTTAACTATTGGTAGTATGAGCCTTATATATACATGAGTGAGTCTCATACATATATCAGTCACTACAAGAATTTACACATTTTGCGACCACTTTTATCGACTAAAAAAATTTTGGTCGCAAAAAAATGACGTTTGGTGACCAAATATTAATTAGTCGCGAATGATCATTAATTTTGGTGACCAAATTTTATTGGTCGCAGAAGGTTATATTTTGGCGACCAAAAAATATGTTGGTCGCAGAAAGTGGTATACTTTTGCCGACCAACTACAAATTTGGTCGCGAAAGGTCACATATTTTTTGGCGACCAAAAATTTGGTTGCGAAAAACTTATTTTCAGCAACCAAAAAAAAAAATTAGGTTCCAAATTAGTACTTTTAACGACTAATATTTTAGTTGCCGTTGATTGAGATTTGGTGACTAAAAAAGATTGTCAGCGAGGTATCTTTTCTGCGACTAATCCGGTCTTTTGGTTACTAAAGGTTTGGGAGGGAAATTTGAAACGTGGATGCAGGAATTGAAATTTTTTTGCGACAAAAAAATTTGGTTGCCGATTGTAAAACGACGTTGTTTTGTACCAGGAAAACAGAAAAAAAAATTTAGAAAAAGCCCTAATCTCCCCTCTGTCATTAGCTCGCTCTCTGTGTCTCTCTATGTTGGTCCGCCCTCTCCCTCTCTCTGTGTTCTCTCTCTCAATCGGTGCCCACTTTCTCTAGCTCACCGAAGTCCCTCACCACCATTGGTCACGTCCGTCGCACATTGCCACTGCCGCAAATCGCCATCGCCCTCTGTCTTTCTCTCACACAGATCCTCAGACCACACTCGACCGACGACCACACTGATCTCCCGTTGATCCTCATATCCTCAGACCACACTCATCATCGCCCTTTGTCTCTCTCTCTCTCTCTCTCTCTCTCTCACAGATTCATTTGGTGACTTTTATTTTGTCTCAGACCACACTCGATCGACGGCCCTCTCTCTCCCTCTTTGTTCGATCTCTTCTCTGTATCTCTGTCTTCTTGTCTCCCTCTATGATTTGGGTTCAGGTGAGTGTTTGTCAACTCTGATCTCTCTTTGATTCTGTGTGTTTTCCTCTGTTTTGGTATTGGAGCTCAATGAATTCATTTGAATTGGGAATTAGTTGAGCCCAAGTAACTGCTTTATTTATTTTTTATAATATATATTTATTTGTCTCATAGTTATTCTTATAGTCTTTAGTTGCATCTTAAATAATTGGTTATAGGTAAATGTTTTCTCTCAGCTGCTGGGTCAAATTTGACAGTTTCCGATTCACAGAAATCATATTGTGACGGGGAGGAAGCTCAGGATCAAGTATTCTCACCTCTTTTGCTAGTGGACTCCTCATTTCTGGGAGATCCTTATGAAGATTTGCTCGGTATGTTGGTGTGGCAACAATTCAAATCAGGATGCGACTTCGTTGTTCTAAGGTAATCTTTTTAAAAACCAATATCTACTCATTAATGAATGAACAAAAATGAAAAGAAAAAAATCATCTCGAACAACAAAGACCTGGTAGTTCTTCATCTTTATATGTGTATGTGTGTATCTACTCATCTTTATGTGTGTATGTGTGTATGTTTCTTTATATTTGTTGGTGGAATTGAGGTAATGCTTCTCTCTGCATTTGAATTCAAAAACATATATTTGTTGTTAGAAAAGTTGTGTGATGACATATCCCCTGGGATTTTGACTTAGTCAAGGAACTCATTATCTTTCCTTGGACTTGGGATCTCATACTGCTTTTTTTAGAATTTCAATTAATGTCACTGATTTAGGTTGTGTGATATAGTTATTTCTAATTTTCTCCCTTTGATTATCATGTGACACATCTAGTTTGATCTGTCTCATTATCAAATGAGTCCCTAGGACCCCATGCCTCATTGTATGACTGCTGCAATATCTGCTTATTAGCTCTGCCAAGTTTTTGGTGCCATTGATACCTGGCGAAGCTACAGTATAGTACCCATAGTATGCTGAATTTTTTTAAAGGTCTCTTTTTTGGTGGAAGAAAATCTTTCGAGGTTTTGCAACATAGTATAACAAATTTCCTCCCTCTATGTTGCTTCGCACTACAAAAATTCTCCAAATGATCTACAATTAATGGCGGATGCTCCAACGCATCACTTATTTGTGTTACTTGGTATATTACTTGTTATGTTTGCTATCCATTAATGCTTGTCTATCTCCCTCCCTTAATGCCTGATGTATTTATTGAACTCTATGCAGGTCCTGTTGATGAGTCCAAAAATCACCTCCCTGATATTCTCTGTGTTATCCAGGTTTGTTTCTTTTTTATGTGACACACACACCAGTATTTACACACCAGTATTTAAGGATTGGTAATCTTTTTTAGAAATTGAATGACTTTGGTCTTATTAGACATTCGTGAGGAAGGTAATCAAAAAAGAAAGAAGATGAGTTCTTTGTTTTATCACTTAGGAGCAGTGTGAGATGAAAGTCTCATGCATGGTTTTGAATGAGAGAAACAAGTGAGGAGATGTCTGCAACTCTTTTCTGTTACTGCAAACATTATTCTATTGTGACTTTTTTGACATGACATGAATATCCATTTTGCCCCTTTTATACATCCTTTTGGTGCAATGTTTTCTCCTCTTTAACCAGACTTCCATATCAATCAAATACTATTGTTGCTAGAGTTCTGTCCTCTTCATAATAAACTATAACGTGGAACATGTGCTAAGCATAATAGTTTGGAAAAATAAGTATGTTCTTGAAGGAAATAGGCTGTAACATGTTAAAAGACACCTGCTTGCAAGGGAATTGGCTCTAAATTAAGAAGTTAATTTGCAGTTCATCTCTATTCCCTTTCTTATAAACACATTCTCATCATTCCCCAATCCCTTATGTTATATTTCCTTACCATGATAATCTCTTAATAGTATCCTCTGTCTTTGTGGTCATTTTCTGAAAACCTTTTTTCTCCCTGCTTCTTGTTTTTTTTGGTTGAAAAGAGCTATCCATTAGTGCTTTCTTGTATAACTTCATCCATTTCTGCTGGAATTATGCTTGATATTAATTCTAGATCATCTTGGGGGATCTATAAATTTATGATGACGCCTCATGCTAGTTCAACTGATAATGGAAAATCACTAAACCATAGTAACATTTGCCACAATGTCAACAATGTATTCATTCTACGGTCAACAATGTATTTTGCAGGAGTAATTAGTGTTGGTGTTCTCCTTGATTTCCTATGAACAATATCATATATCTTTGGCTGCAGATAGAGTGTTTGGTCCAGCAACAACTACTCGTCATGTTTATGATGTTGCTGCTCAGCAGGTTGTCAATGGTGCCATGCAAGGAATTAATGGTAATTACTTTTCTTCACACCTCCTATCATCTAATCTGATGTGAGCATGCATCAGGCATAGCCTTTTGTTGTATGATGATCTTGTTTTTGCTAGGGATGACCATTGAACATAAAACTCTTTGCATTTCACTTGCTCTGAACAACTTTTTCCCCCACCAGTCCCTCAACACCCTTCCCCTTTTAAGGTTGTGGATCTTGGGACATGAGTCATATTCCTATCAACCCGTAGCATCTCATCTTGTGATGTTGACATCCTCACTTATAGGATTTGTTGCAAAAATATGCTCGTGTACTGGATGACTTTTTGGTCTCTGCACTGCAGTTCCTCTCTCTTCCCTTTCTTATAAACACATTCTCATCATTCCCCAATCCCTTATGTTATATTTCCTTACCATGATAATCTCTTAATAGTATCCTCTGTCTTTGTGGTCATTTTTTGAAAACCTTTTTTCTCCCTGCTTCTTGTTTTTTTTAGTTGATAAGAGCTATCCATTAGTGCTTTCTTGTATAACGTCATCCATTTCTGCTGGAATTATGCTTGATATTAATTCTAGATCATCTTGGGGGATCTATAAATTTATGATGACGCCTCATGCTAGTTCAACTGATAATGGAAAATCACAAAACCATAGTAACATTTGCCACAATGTCAACAATGTATTCATTCTACGGTCAACAATGTATTTTGCAGGTACTGTATTTGCATACGGTGTCACTAGCAGTGGGAAGACTCATACAATGCATGTAAGTTGCTGTACTAGTTTTACGTTTGGTGCTTGTTTCCTCACCCAAAAAGGATGTGTGCACTAGACAGTAAAAGGAGAAAGGGCAACTTATTCCTCCCAAATTTATATAATTAATAGGAGGATTTTTTATGTGAAACCAAGCTTGGGGCTGAGTATTAATAAAAGCCATCTGACAAACTACGTGCCACACATTGGCTGGTCCAAGAATATATTTAGCATGAGTTTTAGAAAAAATTGTTTATCTGAGAATTGGTTTCAACAATTTGATTATTATGATTTGATTGAGGGATCTTTATGCTTTTGTGGAGATCTATGACAACATCATCTATAGCCTCATTTCATGTGTAGCTTGTAGTTTCTCATCTAGCTTATGGCTCATATACCTCTACATCTTTGGGACGCAAGCTGTATGATGTCTGAGATTTGACTGCTTGCAAATATGTTTATTGTCCTTGAGGATTGATGTCATTTTGGAGGCAACATGGCTCTGGGCACTGCCAATTAACTGGAAAATTTCTCTAAAATATTACAAGCTGATGTAGTAATCTGCTTGAGAGAATAATTTTTGAAATCATAAAGAAAAACTTTTTTGATTTTTCCAACTAAATGTCTGTCCACAAAACTACATTAAGGCAAGATGGAAAATGTCACTTCATTGATTGATGTGGACCATGATAACAAGAAAAGACTGGAGAATACTTCAGACCTTGTCTAGTCAAAATTTTAGGTTGAATGTTTATTGTGTATTTTTCCATTTAGTATGTCGCTGGTACAGTTTGATTTGGTTTTATGAGTAATGATATTTTGGTGATCTCATGATTTGCTGAACACAAATGTACATGGGTCTTATAATGTTAGGTAAAAACCCAGCTTATATAGAAATCTTTGTAGTTTTTTAATTCAGTGGATTGAGCTTTAGAAACTTCAGGCTGTGTTTGCATGAGTTTTAGAAATTCAAGACTCTCCTAGCAATAATGCCACAATGACCACATTTGTGTACCTTAAAGTGTTTACCATCTCATGTGTCATTGTTGTGTTGGTATCAGACATGATTGGTGCGGCCCTTTCAACCAACATAATGATACCATATAAGATGGTTAAAAATGTGGTCATTATAACAATATTGCTATGTCAGATCACCAATTTTTCCAAAAGCTTAAGATGTTAGGAAATTGGCCCAACAATGTATGTCAAACTTTCCACACCTTCCTTCATGTGCAACCCGTCTTGCGTGTGGAGATGCAAACATCCATACATTGAGAGAAGTAGAATGCAAATAGGGAACAAATTAGTCATTTGTTGGTTTTGTAGGCTCAGATTTGGACAATTGTGATCCATACTCGGTATTTTTGTGAACACATGCTTCTGTTTGAAATGCATGTGCTTTATTATGCTCTTTGATTTTTAATCCAGGAAAATTAAACCTTACTTGCCTTGCCAACATCAGATTTTAATTTATATTGTGTGAATTGAAGGTGACACATTGGTTAATGGCTTTTGAGTGTTTTTGTGTAATGGATATATATGCTGTTTTAGATTTTTTAATGTGGCCCGTGATTGCTTGTTGAATTTGAGAAAGGTTATTTACAGATCTAGGGTTTTGGTAACTTCAGGATTTAGGGTTTTATTTTCGAATTATAATTCTTAAATCTTTGTCTACGACTGATGATTATTGATTAGGGTTACTTCAGATTTTTCTTTGTTGGATCTTGGGGTTTTCCTGATACTTTGAGGGTTGCTTTGCAATTATTGATGTTTGGATGTTTATCTATACAATGCAGGCATATCTTTACTTTAGGGTCAATGAAGATATTGAATTTTATTTTATTTTATTTTATTTTTTAAAAATTCTGGTTATTGATTATCCTATCCGATCCAATTCAATAGAAATAAACTAGGGGTTTTGACTACAGAGCACTTGGATTTTTGATTTTGAAGTTTTTCATGTGGAATTTAGGTTTCTATTAGGGTTCTGTTATTGGTACGTTGTTCTAATGTGTCTGAAACTGAGGTTTTTTGTTTACATCATAACCATATAGTAGGAGTAATTACATAACCTTCATTTGTGTTGAATTCTGTTGGGTTCCTTTGAGAGATGCGTCAATTGCTTTGTTTGGTCCAGTGACAAAGCATAGGAAAGGCAGAACATCATCAAATATTGAACTTATTACTTGCTATCTGGTTTCCAACTTTGTAAAGGCTGTAAAAGCCTTCTAAGACAATTGGGGTTTCTTCCAAATTTAAGTCATACCATGCATGTTTCGCTTGCCTGCTAATATGTAAATTCTAATTTGAATCTTTTTTATAAAAAAAAGTTGGTAGCATATTCTGTTGTTTGTACACATAGTTTTCCTTACAAAGCCTTATTATGATTCATGTGCTTTACTAACTGGCAAGTTCCTTCCACTCCTATGAAGGTTTTCTCCAACAATATGGGAAAGAAATCTGGGCCCGTCATAACAAAATGCAAGGAGAGCGAAAACTGGACAAAAGTTACATTTAAGCCTGACTTAGCAAAATTCAATATGACTCATCTTGAAGATGATGTTGTTGCCCTGATGAAAAAGCGTGTGATTGACTTGGTGGGATGCCTTGGAAAGACTGTGAAGGTTGAGCTTAATGGGAAACGTATTCCAATAAAGTCTTTTCTTGACTATGTTAATCTCTACCTTCAATCTGCCTCCAAAGCCAGACTAGATGCCCTCCCAGGGTTTTCATTTCAATATTTATTGATTCATTTTACTTCTCATAATTTTAATCAAAATATCTAAAATCCAAATATTTTCCAATAACTGATTTTGGAACCTGATCATTTTGTTTTCTTTTGAGCCAAACTTGTCTCTTCATCCTGTGCTTAATTGAGTGGATGGAGACATTGGCAGGATGTGCTGCATTGCACTATATAGTTTACCAACTTAATGCAATGCACAGGAATCTTATAAGTTTCTTACTATTTGTAATGTTAATTCACTTGCCCCTCTCAGCTGCTGCATTCTAATTTGATGTGTTGATACTGTTTTGTAGAGAGTGATGAGTTACATAAAGACATTGAACAGCTGTGTATGCAGCAAACTGGTCCTGGTTACCTTGCTGTGGCTACTCGAATGCATTTTCAGAGGTATATTATTTATGTCAGGTCCATCAGATGAAGTTGTTATCATTAATATTTTTTTTGGTAGGTATGCGTTGGCATTACCTTTTCAAATTGGAAATAAGAATACATTGTGAATTTACCCCCCCCTATTAGGACAGCTGGCTTGGAGCAGGAGATTGAGAGCTTGAAAAAGAAGTTAACTGCTTGCACTAGAGAAAAGTTAAATCCCCAAGAGGAGCTTTCGGAAGCATACCGTATCAAAGTGAGGCTCCTTACCTTTTTTCACTTTGTTATTTTTTATTTTTATAAGCACTTGCATAGTCCTACTGCAAACAATCTTACATGTTTCCTATTTTGTCTCAGGGCCAGTTGGCTGATTTACATGCTGCGGAGGTATCAAAGGTATCGCTCTCTTTCTCTCTCTACATCCAGCACATGTGTTCACATTGGAGGTGTTGGCAGGAAGTTAACTTATGAATTATTCACTAATGGAATGGTAGCTTTCCTACCAGTGTTAGGTTTTTGGGCAAAGAATGCCTACTGGTTTATTCTTTTAGATTGCATATTGATTGAAGTGATGAAACACTATGCCAATGATGTTTCCCACTTTCTGGAGAGTTTCTTTGTTCCATTATTTTTGTAATTGTTAAGGTTTGAAAAAATTCATACAAGCACTCTAACTTTAAAAAAAATATAGTGGAATTTTTAATCCGAGTTTATATGCTAGTACCATACAAGCACTCTAACTTTAAATCCTCCACACTTATGACACTATTTCCAACAGAAGTTTACACGATCTTGTCCTATTCTCTTGTCTCAAATTCTATATCGTACCACACAATAAATATTTTTAACATGATTGTGTAGTGGAGAGTTGATCTAGTATAAAGAGGAAGAGATGATTTGGACATAGGATTGCCAATTGTTAAAGAAATGGTTTGCTACAATACCCTAACTCTGCTGTGTATGCACGATTTGAGTGTATATCAGGATCATGATCACCGTATTAGCAATGTAGTTGTACCTACAATATGTGAGAAAGATATATATTGAAATGACATAGATCTGGATCGTATTGTGTGATACATCTTCATATCTAGATGATACTGACGACCCTGGAAGACATCAATTTTCTGTAAGCTACATGATCACAAAATTCATATGTTCATCATCTTGATTTTTTACCCCCTCCTAATGCGACTATAACAGGGGTATATTAATATCCAAATGATTATTGTTGATTGTCAATTAAGTATGACTCACTTCATAAGGTCTCAATTTCCTTCTTTTCATTACAATTGGTTCTTGTAAAAGCATGCTTGAAGTGGTTCTCCTGTATCTTGAATCTAACATTGGTATGATAGAGAGATTGAATTTTCTTATGTTGGCTAAACTGAGCAAGTATACTTTTGTTTGTTCTGTTGAATGGAGGACACATCTCTCGACTGAGATAAAATCTCACTTGTGCTTTCCAGGAAAATAGTGAATGGAATGATTGGCAAACTACTGTTTTACAGGAGCGTAATATTGTGGAAAATGTCTACAGATGGGCTTGCGGGTATGCTTATGATTGTGTTTTAATGCATTGTGTGATTAGGATGTCAGTGCACAGTACAGGATGATGCTTGTTGCTCTTATGAAACTCAGCCCATCTGGTTGCTACTTTTTGCATCCAAAATATTTGAGGTTCATTGCACTTTATCAGAAAAGTAGCATAAGAGGGAAGGGGACATGGCTATTGGCAAGATTCAGTAGTAAAATTTTGATATCCCACATTACTAAACTAAAAAAATCCCCACCATCGTTGTATTTTCTGTATTTGTTCCCTTTTGTAGCCTGCTCCCAATATTTGTTGGCCTGTTTTACTTCCTGATAATTATTTATTTTCTTTCTTTTTGATGTACAGGCGCCCAACTGCATTGCAAGATAGGACAAGGGATAGTGATGAGGATGATCTTCATGACAGAGATTTTGATGTAGCAGCTTTAGCAAATAATCTTAGCCAAGCATTTAGATACTCGATAAATGATAATGAGGATGCTGAGGAGGTATTAGTGGACTCTATTGTATGTTTTTCTTACAATGCCTTTCTTTTTATTGACAGACTCTTTAGATACTATAAATTTATCTTTGCCATTGGTTGCAGGGCAATGGGGCTCTTGATCGAGTTGATGAGGTAATAGTTTTTTCTTTTCTTTTTTTTTTTCTCCACCCTTTCAAATCTATGGTCTTTTCTCCCTCTGATTCAATTGAAAAGAAACTGAAGGCTGGTTAATATGAATCTGCATTATTGAATTGGAGGCAGCATACTTTGCATAAGAACTCTTTCAACTGTTTATTCTGTTTTATTTATTTTCTATGAAGGAAAAATTAGATTGGAATTGTTGTATTGTAATTACTTGAACAAATAATTTGTGTATCCATGTGCTTTCATATTGTTTCTAATTGCAGCTATGCATATGTTGATTACAGTCGTGAAGAACTTTCTTATATTGAAGAGTTATAGTGAACAATAGGAACTGAAGGAATGAATTGAGTGGTTGCGAAGTGTTGTCATTGTAATTCAGTGAGCTCAAGAATCTCTGTGGTTCTTTCTTGAATAATGGGTTCAAGAATTCAGATCTGTTTGCTGGTTGTTTCTGTCCAAATTTTACTTGTAGCAGCGCAGACGAATAATGACTGTAAGTTCCATTCTTATGCCTAAATTGTTAATAGTTATATTATTGTTGAATGATATCTGCATATGAGAGGCTCCAATATGTGTTCTTTCTTGCTTTGATTAATACAATCAAGAATACATCCCTGCTCATCAGTTAATGCATCCTCCAAAAACACAAAGTATATGCTAGTCCTGTTTATGGTTTCTTTCTAACGCCTCATTTATTGTGGGGTTGATCGCTGATAAAGGAGAAGAAACAAAAATGAAATAAAAAATTGTGTTTTATGTTGTTTCTTATAGTGAGAATTAAAATGATCTGCACTCTACTGCTGGATGTTATCTTCTCTTGGTTTCCAAATGACACAAGATTTGAGATTCAAAGTTTGAATAAATATACATTTTTACTTTTATTTTTAGCCCCAGGTCTTTCAGCAATCAAAGGAAAGCCTTACTCAAATAGGGACTGGGTTTGAATATAGGCTGAAACATGAGTTGAAGGGTCCTAGCTATGGTCTTCTCGATTCACCACTGCGAGATTTTAAATGCATGTCCTTGACTGGGTTATAAGAAGCCATTTCTGTCTGGAGTTTTCTAATTTACCTGGGAATAATTTCCACAATGTAAGGATGTGAATCCCTTCCCACCTCTGGAATACATAGTTGCATTCCTACTATGTGTTAACTGCTTTCCGAAACTAGAAATCTTAGGTCTTATTTAGCATCAAGTTTTCAGCCTGCATACTAGTTTTGGGGTCACTTGGGAGCAAGCTTTAGATGTCCCAGTTCTTTAACCGAAATATCAAATGTTCTTGATTATTCAGAAGTGGTAATCCTTGAAATAATAATTCTTGGTCAAATGAAATCTGTTAAGAGGCTGAGATCTAGAAAGCTGTTCCTCTTTTTTTGTTTTTTTTTTTTGGATTTCTGGCTGCTGTTGGAATGGAATTTGGTGCAACAATTCATCACATGGTTATTTTTGCATTGCCCAAGTTGTTTAAGAAATGCCCACTGGAATTATGCACAGCACACTTGAATTATGCCACTACCAGAATTATGCACGCTTGAATTATCCCACTTGAATATTAAATTATGCAAACTTGAATTATGCCCTGTTTTTTTTTTTTTAGGAAGTGCGCACACAATTAAATTATGTTGAAAATTTGTAAACTTTTAAACCGCCAAACCGATTCGTATCTATCGCCAAATCTGGCTCACCGTCAATCGCATTACCGCCGGACATTGGCCGGACGGTATGCGGATTTGATTTTCTCAATCGCCACTGGCGGGGGATGGCGAGATTAGTGGCTTCCGTGGCTGTACGATCAGCGCACCACCTAGCTAGTTTGTCTCAATTCGATGTACATGTTTATAGGATTTAATATTTTGATTTTCTTGCAAAGATACGGGTTTGCAATCTAGTGTTGACTGACCTACTATCAATGCTTTCTAGCTAAATTTTCCAATTCTGTTTCTTTATAGGTGCCTATACATACTAACTGCTTTGATGGTGCGAAGTTAGCACGGAAGGGTGCACGGGATCTTTTTGATGCTATTCAAGGCAACTTAGGGATTAAGCAATTTTCCTGATGCTGTAACAATCTTGAATTAGTATTGTTTCCAATTTGTTATCTAATGGGATGTGCTCGGAATCGAAATTAGAAATGGTTTATTGCAATCGTTAAATGCCTTATGTATTTGTTGTCGAAATGTTAATGATTCATGGTAATTTGACATGATTAAGTTCAGTTTAATTTACAATGGATGCTGTTTAATTAGTGGATGAATGATATTATTAGGAATTACAGGTATTTGTTTTCTTTGGCTTGGCGACCAATTTGTAGTCTGGACAAATAATTATTTTTTTTATCAAAAATAACAATTGGCCGACAAGAGTTTGGTCCAAAAAATTAATCTATTGCCGACCAAACAGCTCTGGTCGTGAATCACTTTTGCGACAAAGTTTTGGCTCGCGCGAAAATTAACAAATGCGACCAAAAACCTTTTGTCGCGAGAATGTCACGAATTTTGGCCGACCAAAATTTTTGGAGTCGCGGATAATATTCACCATTGCGACCAAAATATTTATGCGTCGCGGAATCGTCACCCATTGACGACCAACTTTTTGGTCGTTGATTGATAATTGCTCGGACCAAACTTTTTGTCGGGGGGGAAAATATCCACCTTCCGCGACCAAAAAGTGTTTTCCGACAAAATAATTAGTGCGGTAATTAAATTTTACGACCAAATAATTTCAGTCGGAAATCCAACTTTTGCCAACGAACACCAATTTGTCGCCAATTACTTTGCCGACCCTCAATTGGCGCACCAATAAGCGACAAAGAAAATGGTCGCGGATAACTCTTCTCGCAAAATTGACTTCTTAGCGACCATATTTTATTTGTTGCCAAAAGTGGTAATTCTTGTAGTGATATAGTGAACACTTAAGGAGTTGTAGGCTTCAAAAAAGGTCTGCAATCCATTTTAATCGTTCGTCTTTATGGAGAAATATTATTAGAGTCGAAGAAAAAAAACAATCCAAAATTGGATTTAACACCGATGCCTTTTTTTTTTTGTTTAAGATTATTTATTTAAATCATTTTTGTAAATTATTATTTTATCTTTATTTTTTTTAAGTCTGTGTGATGTGTGTGGGTCGTTGTTTGTATATTTGATTTAGTATGTATTATACTACAGCTAAGAACGAATAAATTTTAATTTTAGGAATTTCACAATTTTTTTTTAATAAACAAAAAGGACACTTTGATGAGATATATTATAATACTATGTGAGTTCTTGAAGTCCTCGAGATAATTGTTGTGTGTTAAATTAATTTTACCCAAAAGGCACCCTCACCAAGGTTAAGAGGAATGCACTAAAACTCCAACGGAAAAAAGACGCACATAATCATAATATTAGTGCAGTAAATTTCATGATCTTAAAAGTAAGTTGCCTATCGGCAACCCTAGAGTCAAGCGTTGCTAAATTGTGTTGAGGAATTCAGCTTCTATCTCACCACCACCCTCCGGTGTTAGGAATTCCACGCGTGAACACGTTCAATTGAAAGAATTGAGTAGTGCCTACTTGGTATTTCAATAGTGGGTGGATCAAATAAATTAATTAGGCTATACTCGCCTCTTAAAATTGTTATGTTATGTTTAATAAATGTTATAATTTATCCAATATAAAAATAAATTAAAAAAAATGCAATCTTAAAGGTTTGATGTACTATTGTGTTTGCTTTACATTGCAGGATACTGCTGTCGGTCAATGACAAGGCAACGCTGTAAAACAGTAGCGGCGTTGAAGATGTGACACGTCCTGTCGATGCAAATTTTATGTTATGAAGGTATTTTGAAAATTGGGAAAAAAGTAGAAAACAATCAATGTGGTATTCTGTTTTTTTAAAGGTAGTTTAGATAGAAAGGTACAGATAAAGCCCTTTGAGGTTAAGAAGAACTTATAGTACTCTTTAGATGTTTCAGAAATTACAGAGTCATTTCGTCGAAGGTTCTATACTATGTCATAATAAATTTAGAGGTAAAATTGTTTAGAAAATATATAATTTTAAGGGAACAATTAGTTAGAAAATATAACTATATTGTTTAACCTCAAAAAGGTCGTATTATTTTAAAAACCTCAAAAGGTTAAAGAACCTGGAGATAGTAATTTGCCCTAGATAATAATAGTAGTAGCTAGATAGATAGTAGATAGTAATGTAGAATTGGTTGATTGACCAAGCAGTAATGGTTGGTCTTCTTTGTCGTGAGTATTAAGAGATTGTTAGGAATGTTCTTAATAAATGACTTTTATCTTTTTAGATTAAAATGCTTGAGAGAAAAAGATGAATATTTGGTGGATTAATTTTTTGACTTTTTATGAAGAAAAATGCTTGCATTAAAAAGTTATACAATACAATATATATGAGAAAGTTAGTTGAAATAAGCCACGTACATCTGACAGCAGTAGTGGCCTGAATAGTGAGATGAGGAAATGGTTGCCCTTTTCGGCGCTGAATTCAAGAGGTGTATTCAGCCCGTGGGCCACCAGGGTCCCGTTCTTACTAATCGGTACTGTTCAATATGTAAAACATTGTCGAGCTACTACTATAATTCGTAAAAATGACATGTGATGCATTATGGATCTTATTGATTATGTTAGTTTTGTCAACCGTTACACTTACAACACCATCTTTTTTTATTTTTATTTTTTTATACAAAATAATTTATATCATGTACGTTAGCGACACCGATATAACGTGATTTTTACAGGCATATAGTATTGACGATTTCTCACATTATGCACGGTTCCGTTAGCAAAAATGGGACCATGGTGGGCCCCCACGGCTGAACACTACCGCTCCCAATGTTCAAAAGGATCTTCAACTATCTTTCTAATCTCCTAATTGCGCACGTACATTGCAAATTGTACGATCTCTTTACTAATTCTACTTACAACTTACTTTATAGTACTCGCATGATTTCTAACACATTTTCGACGGTCAAATT